TTGAGGAAGTGGCCTCACAAATTGTGATGACATGTCTTCGAATTGTGATGACATCCTTAGAGCTGTTTCCCAGACCGTCGCCTATAGTCCTTTGTGCAGCTCTAGTGCGACGTAAAAAGAGTAAATTTCTACCTACTATTATTTTTTTATTACTACTATTATTTTTGCTTTGTCACATATAGGTTCGGAATTCGGAATTCGAGTATAGCAAATGTAAGCTCGCTTTAGAACTATCAAAAATAAAATGTTTGAATTTCGAATTGGATGATTTTGACAATTTAGAATGCGAATTTGGTTCTTAGTACTAGCTAATGGATTTTATTTAGTTAAAAATAAAGTTCTAAACAAGAACTCTGTGTTACCTTTTTTTTCGTACATTCGCTTACAAAATGATTTTTTAGAGCATTTTTGAAGGATTTGAAGATATTTTTCTTTGTTAATTTGTTGTAGTAATCAGCCTAAATTGAAAAAAATAAAAAACTCATAATTTTGAGATAAGATAAAGTTAAACCAAACTTTAAATATTATATGTTTTGACTGCTATCCAAAATAAATTTAGAATAACTTCATGCTTCTAGTGAGGGCCACAACTATGGAACTGCTATTTAGTTTTCTGTTTTCGAATTACGTATAAAATATATTACCAAAATTTTTGCTTTAGAAAAAAACGAAATAATTTTTTCACTAATAGTGAGTGATTAAAAATTTGAATTCTAATTCACGACCGCAGCTTTCTTTAAATAGTTAAAAAGTGATTGCCAATTTATGTATAAAAAAATACAAAATATGTAAGTTTAAGGATTTACTTTATTTCAAACTGATCAGCATTTTCAATTTTCTTTAAAAAAATTAAGCGAAAATTCTTTTCAGAATATTTTTTAAGGACATCATCGTAATCAGTCATCAAATATGTAGTCTTTGAACTGAGATAGGGTGATTGTACTTTGATATTTTATTTGTAACAGATAGCTAAATAAAGGATGAAGGTCAAAGTATAATTTCTAATTTTATCAGAGTAAAGTAAAAATAGGTATATTTGGTTTATTATTTGATAAACTTGTCTATATTTAAAAATTGACCTTTAGTCTACGATTAAACTTAGACTGACCATTTGTCTGCTTATCGCATATCTGCCAACATTTGAGTAGTGAGACTGTTGATGTCTTAGTAGTGAAATAACAATTGTAGTGATAACTTTAAACAGAAATTTTATAAATTTCATCAGCAATTAAATCTGAACAAAATCTTTTTACTTATGCACTCGTATGATNAATATGTTTTAAATTGAATATAATTCCCTCAGCTCTTTCTGGGCTCAAAAATGTTGTGAAAGAAAAAAAAATCTCAACGCTCATATATTTGAGACGATCAATTTATGTTTATCTGTAACTAAAATATATCAGTGCTCCTAAACCTTTTTACCGTCGCGGACCGGTAAACGCTTTATAACATTACCGAGGCCAATTACGTTTATTGCTTTTACAGTAGAGTCCCGATTATCCGAGTTAATGGGGACCGCAACAAACTCGGATAACTGAAAAACTCGGTTAAAGCGAAGAGTATAAAAACGGAAAGAAAAAGAGAAGGTATTAATGTAATATATTTAAGAAATACGAAATGTATACGAGTATACCACATACAATTCATATTATAATTAAAAAGCTTACTTAAAAACATAAAAATTATATTTTACGAGAATTAAATAGGTTTTACTTAAAAAAAGTCCTGAATCGTTTTTCGTTCTACGTAACTCTGGCGCTTTTCTGTAGTAATGTTTCGCCTTTTTTAGGGATAACAGGAAGGCTGGTGTCGCCTCTTTTTGTTGTTCTATATATTCAATAGTACATTCGATAGTTTTTAGTTCATCTGTATGTATGTTCATCTGTATGTATGTTCATCTGTATGTATGTATGTATGTATTTTGTATGTTGATTTTAATAATCACTGTCTTCATCATCTTCGCTAGATTCATTATCATTATTGACGATATTAACGATAATTGCATCAGACCAAGTTGTTGGATTTTGTTTTTCTGAGTGTTTGTAAAATAAAATTCAGATTTATTTTTCAGCGGTTTTTTTAAAAATAAACTAGAACAAAAAAATCCTTGAAACATTTGATAGCTCGGTTAAAGCGGAAACTCGGATAACCGGGGCTCGGATAATCGGGACTCTACTGTATATATATATATATATATCATAAGGATTTAAGAATTTCCTCAAAACTCATGTCTAGAAATGTCATCATACGCCGCTAGGGGCGTTTCCCCCATTATTAACTGTTTCTTCGTGTGTCTATGAATAGGTACTTTAATTTATCTAAACAATTGATCTAAATTAGTTAAAAAGTATATTGATCGTTTTATCGATTATATTTCTCTTCCTGGCAAAGCGTATGAAACAAAATGATGCGTCAAAAACAAGATAAAATGGTAATACTAATTCGGAACATAATATTACACCAAAAACAGGATGTAAAAAATTACACACCGTGTAATATTGTTTGATATGAGATGAGCCACCATCTCCTACACACCAGAGAGCCTTCACACGGTTTTCACAAGTAGCTTGTGCAGTGAATCAGTTTTGTGCATGTAGCGGAATTCTATTAAAATTATTTATCATTCCTGAAAGAAATTCATCTGACTTTATAATTTATATATAAGTAAATGATGGATAATATGTAGTGATTAAGAAGAAAGTAAGACAATCCAATCATATTCATCAGTTAAACAGATTTTAAGACATATATTAACTACCACTATGTCGTTTTTACTAGATATTCTCTTATGTGGATATGGGGTTAACTGATTTAACTGCTGACAGGTTTGATCGGACTACCATTCCGAAAACGTATGGAGGCTTTCAGTTATTAGGAGGCGATGGATGAATCCCGTTATTTCACCATTATATCAAAAACAGGTAACGGGTTAACAGGGTGGGTAGCCAAATTATTCAGCAAAAAATAAGCACCTTTTAAGCACTTTTCAAGCACTCAAAAAATATTTTTAAGCACTTTAAAGAAATATAATTAGGCAGGGTAAGAAAGTTTTTGACAATAAACGGTTTATCTTATTTTAACCGTCATGTCAAAAAAAAAAAAACTTTTGGTATGGTTTTTGACATTTGTCAAAAATCATGACGCTTTGAATAATTTAAAACGAATGGCGTTTTCATACGCTACTGACTGACAATACGCCGAAATACATAGATTGGGGTTAAATTACTTGTGAAAACGTTGAATAGAACAATGTGAACTGTGTCTTTTTGCATAATTCGAAGCGAAAATCAACATAGTAAAGGAAAACTCTCATTTTGAAAAAGGAAAAATTAGGCGCTTTTTAAAATCACCCAATGAAAAAAGCACCTTTAAGGGCTTTTAAAAAACGAAAATCGAAAATAAGCACCTTTAAGCAGTTTTTAAAAACACTACGTGCCCTGGTTAAGAGTCGTTAAAATATACTACTAGTTACTAGCTTAATTAAAAACAATTTTTCATTTTTATAATATAACGAGAGTTACAAATAAAAGGTGCTAATGATAGCTGCCTTGAGTCAGAATGAAATTTAGTGAATTAATTTCTCTTTTAATAAGACCCGATTGAGGGTTAAATTACAATTCATTTAATTGTTATTTACCATATTCAAAACAGTCAAATAACCATAATTAAGATGGTAATCAAACTATTAACTATAAGAAAATTGTTTATTAACTGCTTTAATTTAATTCGGTTAAACAACCAGAATATTATTGCTTCAACGAAGTCCACCTAATGAAGCCACTTCGTTCCTTTCAACTGGGTGCAAATTATAGCCGAGAGGGTAATCTGTCGGTGCAAATTGTAGCCGATAGGGTAATCTGTCGTTGCAAATTGTAGCCGAGAGGGTAATCTGTCGGTGCAAATTATAGCCGATAGGGTAATCTGTCGGTGCAAATTGTAGCCGAGAGGGTAATCTGTCGGTGCAAATTATAGCCGAGAGGGTAATCTGTCGGTGCAAATTATAGCCGAGAGGGTAATTTGTCGGTGCAAATTGTAGCCGAGAGGGTAATCTGTCGGTGCAAATTATAGCCGAGAGGGTAATCTGTCGGTGCAAATTATAGCCCAGAGGGTAATCTGTCAGTCTCCGGACCGACCGAACTGGAGTTCGAGGAGGAGCGCTGACGCATCAATTTTTCCTCCATTCCCTTCAATACATGTTACCAGTGTCCTACATTCCCCAATGTCCATTACTTAACTCAGAGGTTAGCTCCTATGTCCTTTTAAATTTATGAAACATAATTGTTTTTTCTTTCAATATAATCTTAACCCGACTAACCCACATTAGATTTTAGCATGCTAACATGATTGTTTATTTTAAATTAAGCTATGGTAATAAATCGGCTATAACAAAAATTGAATACCACTTTTTTTCCTTCCTATCTTGATTATAAACCCTATAAAAATGTCACTTGCCTGGTTCTTCCATTAAGCTCTTCAATTATAAAACGAGAATAAAAATGAGAAGGGATGTTTTATCAATATTACAGTAGAGTCCCGATTATCCGAGCCCCGGTTATCCGAGTTTCCGCTTTCACCGAGCTATCAAATGTTTCAAGGATTTTTTTGTTCTAGTTTATTTTTAAAAAAACCGCTGAAAAATAAATCTGAATTTTATCTTCCAAACACTCAGAAAAACAAAATCCAACAACTTGGTCTGATGAAATTATCGTTAATATCGTCAATAATGATAATGAATCTAGCGAAGATGATGAANATTATTAATTAATTTTCTACCACTGAAAATCCAACATTTCTGGATCGTTTTTGGTAATTCAGGATCCTTTCATATAATTTTTTTAGCCAATAAGAATGCACCGACTATCATTTAAGAGACGGTTTAAGAAAGTTATATTTTTATGTAATAAAGAGACATTATAATAAATTACATAGATATAGAGTACATATAGATTAGATATAGATTACAGTTGGTACTAATGAGTAGTATTTCCTTTTTCCACTTGTCAGTTTCAACTACTAGATTACAAGGACTTTATATTCAATTAAATACAAGACTCATTGAATTTATTATGTTTACACGGTGTTCGTTCAGCATTCCTTCCATTGATATCGAATATTATCCAAAGCGATTATTCCTTCTCCGTTAGATTTTCTTGTTTTGGCGTCCAGTGTAAACTGTTAAAAAAAATAAATTATTAAACGAAACAAAACTGATACGAAACAAAAACAAGAAAGTTTTATTCGGGAAGGAAACAGAATTGTAAAGATATGAATTTAGTTGCTAGGACTTTGTGCGAAAAAAACTGTTCATGTATAAATTACTTTTAATGTACAAAGTGCACAATAAAAAACTGACCACTCTGAACAACTTATGATCTAATGATCGAACTTTCACGTTTTAGGACACTAATTCTTAAAGATTCAAGGGGACGACCTCAAATAAATGGAATAGATAGATGACCTCAAGGGGATGCTAATTAATTACTGCAGACGATATTTTAAATTACGAAATCAGACGCAACCTACTTCTTCTGAATAAATATACCTATTTTTCGTCAGATTGAGAGATCTGATCCCCAAAATATTGGGGGCTAAAATATATATAACTCTTAGCTTTCTAAAAATAATTTACTTTTGTTTGTTTCTAGTTATTAACAAAGTTATAGCAGTTTTTGTGCAAGGTGATAACATTGGATACACGAATGATTTTAAGTCTTTAAATGCGTTTTGCTCAAAATCAGGGTTTCTCACGTTTTACACCACCTCAAACATGTAGTTTTTAAAATAATTATCCACAATTTTAAATGAGTGTTTATGATTAAAGCACACATGTTTTGAAATACGGACTAAGAGAAAAAAGTAGAATTTCATTTTTTATGCATATTTTTTCGCTAAGATAAGTGAGGAAATGTTTAAAAATTTGCTTTTTTAACTACATTGATCCCTAACTCAATAGTATATGCACTTTTAAGATAATAGTTCAAAACTTAGTTGATAGCCTTATAAATGAAATCCTTAAAGGGTTTTTTGTTTCGGGCAATAGAAATTTTTTACAGTGTTTAGCGAATGCAAAAAAAAAAAGTCTTATTTTAACCTAAAAATAGCCATATAAAAAGAAAATAATAATAATGGTTATTGTTTTACCAGTTTTATAAGTTTTTACACAAAAATGAAACAAACTAATGTTTTAGAATTTTATATTAATATTTAAAAAAAAAAGGCTGTCGAAACTGGTCGGATATCTTAAGCGATTGCAATTTTGTTTCGGATAACAATAAATTCGCCTAAACAACGTTTCCATAAACCTTCAAAAATGTGTTTCAACATCTATGTAATGATTGTAAATATCTATTAAATATGAACCTGAAATATCTGTTTGAAACAAAGAAATAAAAATAAATTAATCAAAGTTTCTTTGTATATGAACAAACATCATACGAATTAATGAATGTTATATTGCGTAATAACTTCAACGGTTTCAATATTTGTTGTCTGAGTTTTATGGATAGTATTATGTGTATTATGTGCTCAAGATGACATTACGAACAGTCTAGCGCTTTTATTTTCTACTTTATATTTGATTGCTGAATTGAGTGTTAAAAAATAGTCTTGGAAAAAGTCGATGAAATAATTACCATTCGACGCCAGAAAAATGCAGAAAGAATTAGATTAAAAATTTAAAATAAGTAAACGGGAATTGTTTCTGAATATAAGGATTAAATTTTGTTGAATTTTAAAAAAAGAAATATTCAATTTATATTTCTAGAATTAATCATATATTATTTTTAAAGTACAATAGAATACTATGAATTCGAATTGTTTGTAATACTATGTATTCTCCTAGGATAAAAAAATCTAAAACGTGGCAGTAAATTTAAGAAAAGGTTATACTGTCATAATGTTTAAAAATGTAACAGTTTGTGCAAACTTTGCTTCGCTAGTTTTTACACTTCTTTCAGAACCATTGAAATTAAAATTTTGTTAATTTAAATTTGAGAAATTAATATTTTATGAATTAAGCATATGGCGTATTTAAATTGAATTTGAAAAATAAAAAAAATAATTTTTCTTTTACAATGCAGACTAGTTATACCAAGGAATTAAATGAAATAGAAATCATAAAAATATTCATAAATCATAAGTACATTGGAACAGTTATTGTCAGTTTTCACAATAAAAACTAATAAATTAAAAGAAAAAATAACTAACACCTTTAATTTAAATTTAATACTTCGTAATATTTAAATATTACCTTACTGTGTTTGATATATTACAATATCAATAAAATTATCTATGCGGTATTATTTGCGTCGATACTTATGAGATGTCGGCTTTCATTATTATTACATTCATAAAAGTACCTGATCTTACGTAATTCCGGCATGGGGATTTCAAATCTGAAAAATCAAATTTGATCATTCAAATCTTATCTTGCCCAGAATGCTATAGATTTGTTTTTAAAAATGATATTTTTAGTTTTGCTTATTTTTTCTTTATAAGGAACTCACAGGTTTACAAACATACTCATATACTTGTCTACTCCCTTGAAAATTTAAGACAAGAAATAAGTGACTTATAACTGGTCGCATCATAAACTGAAATATATTATCGTTTTCTTCCTACCACGCCCTATGCATCAGAGGAGTGAAGACCCATACTAGTCACTAGAAGGAATTTAAAAAAAATCCTGACAATAAATGTATTATTAAATTGCATAAAAGCTGAAAAACTGCACAATTTTTGAGAAGAAAAACATTTTTATTTATTTAAGATTTAACATTATTATAATTTTTTTCATTTTTATTGAATTTTTAGACGTCAACTTAAATTGGGGAATAAATTTTTTGTCGCATTTGTACGAGCATTTGATATTACCTGATTAGGGAGTGGGGATTTCAAATAAGTAATTATTAGTTCTGTTCTGAAAGCTACTGATTTTTTTTCTTTTTCAAAATGATATTTTCAGTTTTTTTTCTGAATGTATACAAGTTTGTAAAGAAAATATAGGTTTTATTCAAGTGAATTTAAAATTTTTTTATTTAAGAATATGTTATTGAAGAGCACAAAAAACTGTAGGTTGTAGAAAGAAACCGATTACAGGTTTGAAATCCGCGATGCGAAAATATCCAAGATCAGTTCAAAAATCTCATGCAACAGAAAATTAAAAAAAAAAATTGTTTCCTTGAGTAATCAATTACTTATTACAATATACAATTGACGAATTTTTGTCATTTGGTGATTAGTTGGTTAATGTCAAATTTTCCTTATGCGGACGGATAAGGGATAAGTTTTGAAAACATCAGTTGAATTGTTTCTAAGAATTGTTTAAATGAGTTTTTAAATGGACATTTATAATGAAACAAACATATTACTTATGAAAGCATTTAGAAATTCACTATATTTTTTTCAATATCACGCACACTAACTAATTTATCCTACAGGCGTTAAAATAATATGCTAAAAAGAATATTTTAAAAATTATATTAGACTTGAAAGTAAATTTGTAATGTAAAATAAATTGTTTCAGTACTGCAATATAAAAAATACAAAAATAAAAAAGTCAAAATCTTTTAATAATATTTTAGTCACAAGTGATAGAAGTAGAAAAATTCAGTTTTTTTTTACCCAACCTTCCCTCCTCGCCCATTTATCTATAATCTATAACAGCGGCTCTCAAATGGTGTATCGTGGAACCCTAGGGTTCCGTGAAAGAGTTAAAGAGGTTCCGCGACTTTTTATAATCAGTTTCGGTTTTTGAAACTTCCGATTATATTTAGATCCTTATAATTCCGAATTAATTTAATCTTTCGGTTGCCTTTATGAAATTATTTCAAGTAAAATGTCAATGAAATAGAAATGGCATTTTTTAAAAGAAAATGTAATATTTTTATTAACAAATCGAACAAAAATTATCGAACAAATTATGAAAAAAACAAAGCATTTATAAAACAAATGCATCCGTATTTTCTATTGAGTTTTTCAAATTGAAATAAATAGCTAAATTCTCATATAAAGAAATATGCTTCCCTAATAGCCATTTCCAAACGTTTAAATCGGTTCTATTAAGTTTTCATTTCGAAGATAACACCATAATTATTCATTTTCAGCTTATGTGTATTCTACAAAAAAATTTATAACTGAAGCACAAGGTTTGTTAATTTAGCTGTCGGACATGAAAACCTAATTTAAGATTATTAATTAACCTTCTCTCTTTCAATAGTCAATTATTTTACACGAGCGCAAGTGAGGAAATTAACAAACAGATTCACGTGCCGTTCTCGTTGTTGGCGACTTGGTGATTAAAAAGAGTGTTACAAATAATTGATCGCGAAAATATCCTGAACTACTGGCAAAGAAACAAAATCCTTTTGAGAAATCCTTACGTAACACGTGACTATCACGTGTTTTACTAGTTACACAGCGTTACAATTCAAACAGCTTTTCTTCCTGTCTCGGTATCTTTCTTCTCTTTTTTTTATTTCAGTTTCAGACAATAACGTACTTTATATTTACTTTCCCTTCCCGCGATCGCTTTTAATTCTGTGATTTATCTTCAAAAAGTTCAGATATTTAAAATTCGATTTTCTCAGAAACTATTCAATCGATTTTGCTCAAATTTTGTATTTTGCCATGAGAAATTATGTTTTTTAAAATGATGCGAAAAATATATACCTTACAATTTAAAAATTTTTCAATCATTATTAAATAAAAAAATAATAGTTATTTAATAAAGGTAATATTTTGCATGGATTTATCTTTGGAAAAACGAATTTTATAATTGCGTGCAAAAATTCTTTGACCTGCTTATAAAATTTTCGAGATGTAGCGAAATATGCAAAACGTTAAATTAACATTCAAGAGTCAGAACTTTGAGCTGCTATCTTGCCCAAACTATTGAGATCATATTTCTCAGATTGTGGCTGCCCCCTATATTGTGGGAGTCAGAAATCCATATAAGACGAAAAAAAAGTATGTTTATTCAGAGAAAGTACGTTTTTGAGCCTGATTACGCAATTTAAAATATCGTCTGTACTAATTAATTAGCATGTTTGTGATTACCCCTTCGTATCATTAAGAATGAGTCCTTGGACGTGAAGATCCGTTCATTAGATCAAAAGTTATTCTGGGAAGACCGTTTTTTTTTCTTCTTTTCTTTTTCTTCTTCTTTTTTTTTGCTCCACACAAGTACATTTTCGTCTCCTTAAGTTCTTTATTGATTTTTCAATAAAGAATTCATTTTTGGTAATATTTTTTATTTCCATTTTTCGTTTCTTAAAATAGATGTTCCAAAATCGAGAAAACTGCTTCGGAAAGGATTTTAAATCTTAGCAAAAATTGGTGATGAATTTGGACATGTTCAACAATCACGAGAGAAAGAAAAAACGAATAAACCAGGAGTTAGGTTAAGAACTTACCTTCACATCTCCTTCCAAATCGACAGGAACTTGCACACTCTGCCACTCATCTTTTTTATCTATGTGCTTCATTATTAATTTAGAAGAGTGGGTAAAGTGCACTGAAATATCTAGGGAAACGGCACCCCCACCGTTAAAGAAGGTGTCGAAATTAAAACAGGCCTTCTTGCGTCCATAGGCGCCGAAAAAAGGTGTTATTAAACGGATTTTTCGATAGGACGCATCTGCAGCATTGACGAAAATATAGCTACCTTGAAAGAAAAGAATATAATTAGAAATGGTAAAAATATCAAAAATTAAAAACAAATAAGAATAACACAAATACCATATTAATAATTCATAATGATGTGTGAAAAGGCTTAATAGTCTAGGACGTTTTATTATCGTGATTTGTATTTAAATTTACGTGTAAATTTATCATTCATAAGAGTTTTCTGCTATTAAATTCTAACTGGCAGTGAGCATTAAAAAATTTAAGAAAATTAATATTACAATCTTTTGAGTTACCATCTTTTGAGTATTATCCCTTATTTGGCTGTATTTGTGTAAAATATCATCGTTTGTTATTTTTTGGGGTAGCATGTTGGTGGACATAGCATACTTGCAGCATCTTCCGAATTTTATTTCGTTGAAATTTAAATTGAAAAAGTTTATTAAATTGTAAACACTTAAGTATATTAATATTGGATGGTGTGCTTTTCAAGCTTTAGTCTAAAATTCAACCGGAAGTCTTGTAGTAACCCTGAAACCTTTCGATGAATTTTAACTCCTAGAGCCACCTGTGCTTAGCTTTACCCGGTCAACCATCCATATTTGCTTGTTCGTACTTTCTGATGATTCTTTTTTTTCTTCATGTCTATACCGCCCATCAGGACTCATTCAATTGACAGGTATACGAAAGCATTAGAAAATAGCTTATGAATGTTTTACACTCTAAACATTGTTATAATCAGGCTTACCGTCCCGGCCTCCTAATGTTCCATTTTCAATTTTCCATTGAGTCTTATAATTGTTGTCGGCATTCTCCATACCACACATATCAGCTTCGAAATCACAAGTGAAATCGGGCACCTCCGGTGGTGGTGGTCTTTTTTCATCTGCCAAATAATAATAATAAAATATGTTAACCGCTAAAGTAATAAAATGCTCACATTCTTTACTACAGTTACTTAAGTCAAAGCTATTAGTAAATGTGTAGTCAGTAAATTATAAAAAAACTAGTGGGCTGCGCCCCCTGCTCGCTAACGCTCGCCAACCCCCGAAAATTGCTACGCAATCTTATATGGTTTGCTTCGCTAGCTACTAACTTAGTTACATTGCAAATGCACAAAATTCTAAGAATTCAAACAATCATTCAAATCCATATAAAAACGTTTTTTTTTAAAAAAAATTACATCTTTATAGTAAAAAAATCATTAAAATAAATTTGAATTCAAATAAATGACATGTAGTTCGTTAAACCTATTAGAAATGTGCTATAGTATAATTCGTGATATAAATCAAAAATCGTCAAATAAATTCGTGAAAAAAAAGCGCTTTCGACAAAATTCTAAAATAGAGATCCATCGACAAAGACTTCTGCCTAGATTAATAGTATGAAATTGCCACAGATGATGCTCTCTGGTTATTTCAGTTTCCATTTTTAAAAGCGCTATATGTTGAGCCACCTCAGCTAGCTTTGGCATGTGACATTTTTAGCGGCAATCATTGGTCGATTCGCCGTATAAGAGAAATAGTAACGTAAACAAAACAAAGCAAACGTTGCCCCCGGCGGAAAAGAAATACAGCCAAAATTTGGGAGCCACGTAAGAGAATTATATATATTAGATACTATTAAGTATTTTTTTATAATTTTAATATGCATTAACATTTATAATAAATGTTTTTGAATTTATTGAGGTCTTATATATAATAAGGTTTAATGAAAGAGTTTATTTTATAAAGATGAAGAAAAAAATATAATTCTTTTTTGGTTAATTCTTCATTTGGCTAGCCAAATGATGTCTATAATCATGAACCTGCATTAGAAATAAAATAAAGACGTCAATAAAAGCGATAGGCATAGCAACGTTTGCGATTTTCAAAATGAATGAATGGTTATTATTTTTTTTTTAAAAAAAAAACTTTTCTAAAAAAGATTAGTAAGTGAATTATGAAGGATTGGGTAATTAATATCAGCAATATTTTAATTATAGCAGCGGCTCCCAATTTTTTTCGGCTATGGAAAACTAAATAAACAACTTATTTTTAACAGTATCCCGACTTTAAAAATAAAGACTACTATTTGAAAATGTTTAATGTAAATAATAAAATTTTTTTCATTGTTTTATCATTAATATTTTTGATATTTATTTATATTGATTTTGCTAGGCTTGAGCAGCATCATCTGTAGTTCTGAATTAGTTTTGGTGTTCGCAAATTATAGTTTATCAATAAAATATTTTGTTTTAATGGCAGGCACTGAACTCATCGTTCTTCGCTATGGAAGGTGCCGGAAGTGTTGCTTATTTTGCGTTGCCTGGTGAACACCTTGTGACCAGAGTCATGGAGGTGCGGAATATTAATCACGCCACACGGCCACAAATAGTCATTCATAGGGTGGGCCACATTCACATATCACACACAACAGAGGACAACGCATATAGAAAAACAACCATATCCTGAGCGGGATTCGAATTCGCAGTCATTGGCTTTGCAATCACGCACGTTAACCGCTCGGCCACTTTACGAGCTAAAATCCAAATGGGAAAGAACTCTTCTAAATCTTGAGAATGGATATAAAGAAAATTTAATAAGAAAAATTTATTGAAAAGAAATTTTTGAGCTAAAAAGTTCGATGGGAAATACCAATGCAATTTTTTTTTTTATAAATATCCCCTCATAATTTATTCAATGTTTTGCTACTAAAGTAAGTATAGTTGTTTAAATTTTTCTTTTTATTTTACTGGCAATTTACTTAAATAATTTCATAAAGAGAACAGAAAAATAAAAAAAAAGAATTAATTATTAAATAATCTTATAATAATTGAATATAAATCTCAGAAATCATAACTAGTTTCAAAGAGTCATAACTTTCGGAACCCTTGCAACCGTTCCACGGAAGCCTGGGGTTCCGTACAACACATTTTGGGAACCACTTATTTAGTTAGTGTTCTTTCTTTGTTTGGTCCAGTATAGAGAAACATCGAAATCAGTGAAAACAGTGTGTTTTAGTTTTTACAAAGCGCATTTTTGGATTTTAAAATAAAATATGAAAAGTTATGAATTAATTGGTAATTGGCTATCTGCAAGTGACGCAGTGTGGGTAAATCGATCCTGATTGGTTGTCGGAACGTGCCATTTGTTTACGTTTTCAATTGCTCTTTCCATTCTATTTTGAATAAGCCAAGCCCGTCAAGTATTAGTTCTCTTCAATGACACATTCTATATTCTTACACAAAGATTTCAATTCTTTCGATATAAACAAACTAATACATCAAAGTTGCCAGGTAATCAAAACAAAAATCTAGTATGGTTACAATAAAATACATAAACAAATAATAAAAAGTTAAGTAAAATAAGTAGACGAGAAAGAATTATCTATCAACAAATTCGATGTGCTATACAGCGCTGTATTCAATTAACTTCACGTTAATTAACATTCTAACTTATGTGGACAAACTTAGCTCAACTCAAGCGCGCCATTTTCTTTATAAACGACCAGCTGGAGCTGATATCATAGGTCACATGAGTGGGTGTCGTGATCTTCTTGAATATGATTTATGCAACAAGTCACTACTTTTTTACCTTCTTTAAATCAGCTATTTCATAATAAAACCTTGGGCAAAAAAAGGGTTAGTAATTTTTGTAAAAGAAATTTACATACCATTGCATTCATACATTTTGTTGATTCGCCTGACATCACTATCACTCAGTCCAGGTTTGTTATTGATAAGTCCAATGGTGACATTTTCTTCTCTGGGTTTCATAGTCATTGAATTGCGATCCTTTGCGAATGCATATTCACCATATAGCATGATAGACTTATAGTCGAATTTCTCGCCTAATAAATTGTTTTCCCAAGGTTTCAACTTCAAGAAGTTACGTTCTGAGCCTAAAAATAAATTCTTTGTTAATTTTATTTTATTTACAAAGAACAAGAAACTACACTCTGAGCTGAAATAAATTCATCTTTAAATTTATTTACATATATAGCAAACAAACGATTTATTTACATGGAACAAGAAACTATATTCTGAGCCAAAATAAAATCGTCTTTAAATTTACATATATATATAGTGAACAAACTAACATATAAAAATAAGTATTAAGCCAAAGTAGCCCTAAAAATAAGTATTTTGTTAAATTTATTTTATTTACGAAGATCTAGAAACCACATTCTGAGCTATAATAAATAATTTTTAATTATCTGTGTATATAACGAGCAAACGAATGAAAAATTAATTCTGAGCCTAAAAATAAATTCTTAGTTAAATTTGTTTTTATCTATAAAGAACGAAAAACTACACTCTGAGTCAAAATAAATTCGTCGATTTTAAAATTTCATTCCAATTTTTGAAATTTCATTCTGAGTCAGAAAATTTAATACTTTTTTTTACAAGAAGTAAGAAACATGTCCCTAACCTGAGAAAACGCAAACTTAGATAAAAATTAATGCAAGACTTGCTGAGAAGTAAATTTCTTTTTTTAGAAGTCAAATCTTTTTAGAATTCTGATACGCATTTAAAATTTTATAATATTTATCAGTAGGTCTTAATTAATGGCTAAACTTGAATAGTGTCTCAGTATAGTAATTTTATAGGATGTATTGCAATTACACTTGTTCAATGAAATAATAAAATAACAGTCTGAATGCATTGAAATTTTTTATTCCAAAACTTTCAACAAAAAGATGTTCTTACCTGTCTTAATGTTCCCCCACAATATTTCTAAATATTCGTCTCTGTCTGACCTGCTGTGCTCATGCCAAAGTCCAATAGCATGTCCGATTTCGTGAACAGCAGACACTTTGTCGTGGCATCCTTCACTCAAAGATATTTCTTGCTCACCTCCTTTGCGACCGACAGATGACCAGCAGCTATTTTTTTTTATAAAAAATAAAATAAAAATGATGTCTACAAACATTTGAAAACAGATCAAAACTCCAATAATATTTGAGATTTCAATGAAATATTTTTTTCATTTGTAGAGTATTTAAAGCAAGTGGAAATTATATAAAACTTTTAACAGAACTTATGAGCATAAATATTAGGCTATTTGACCTTTGATAAGTAATTTTTATTATTCTAATTTATCAAAATATGATAAATCGTCTCATCTGCTCCTTCAAGAAATATTTTCTAAAACTACAGAAATTCCGTTGTAGTTTGAGGATATGAGTGCGTGCTAAGTGAAGGATATTCTTACATTAATGAAATAGCACTCTCTAACCCTTTATGATTCTAACCCAAGCTGTTTTATGTTCCTAAAAATTGCATGATTGATTCATTATATGATATATATATATATATATATATATGATAAACAGCNTCAAATTTTTGTGTGTATATATATATATATATATATATATAAAACATGAATTTTTAAATATTTATTATAACACAGTAGTTCGAAATATCTTGGTCCGAGCCATGATGGCTTAGAAAGGACAGTGTTCCCCTAAGCCCAACCTTTTTATCACCGCGGGCCTGTCAACGTTTGATAATTTTACCGCTGCTAGCTGGGGGGGGGGGGCGTTGATTATTTAAATTTTAGATTACTTTGATTTATTAACCGTCGGAGGTTCTCGGGGTTTTCTTCTTCATGTAAAGCAAATGAGGTAAATTTCTCCCAATACTTGATTCAGGAGTTTCCTTGTCTTCTAGATTTCGTTCAAAATTACAAGGCTGCGGAGTTGAACATTATCAGTTGTGAACCCAAAAAATTGGATAGGCTATTTAACGACGGTTATAAAATAAAGTAAAATATCTTGGTTCTCTTAAATAATTTATTTATTAATAATATAGGTTTTCTTTAATTTTAACCTTTTGTGAGTACAAAAACTGTAATTTAAACAGAATGTGTTTATTTTGTTACAACAGCTCATATGCTTTTGACTAAACACAAAAAAATTGTTTCGAGGCTGCGTGTATACTTTTGTTTAATATAAAATAACAGGAAAAAGACGTTGAATATGTAGGAGTCACTTTTATCAAATAGAAACAAATCACATGAAAATAGATTCAAAAGAAATAAGTAACAATGGGAAAACTACAAATTTATTAAAATCTATTTTCCCTATAAAAGTAACACTAACAAAAATGGTAACAAAACTCATATCGTTCAATTCATATTGAAAATATATTTTTGTTTTTATGTAATATCTAATTTAATCATAATTTTTTCTTAAATTTTCTTTTGCAGTTGCAATTTTTATATACTTTTCTAAATTAGTTTCATTATACAGTTTTTTGAGAAGTAAATGTAAATCCGAAACCATGCAAGCTTATTCAAACGTAATGCGGATTAATGTTGTTAAAATTAAAGTAAAATCAAAAATAATTTTGTTACAGAAAACGTACCCTTATTGATGCAACCACTCTGCGTAATTTTTTCTTGATTTTTAAATATCCCTAAATATGTCACTTATTCAGCGAAGCCAACTTGCTCTGTTTGGTTAAAATATATTTTCTAGTGGGAGCGAAGCTTATATTATTTTTTAATTTAGTAAATTTTATTTCAACCTATTTTTCCTTCGCCACGTATCAAATTCAAAGCCTCACATGGAATGCAACTTAGTTACAGTTACCTCGTGAAAAGACTTTTTAAGAGTTAGCTCAGTTGTTAATTATTTATTTTTAGTTTGTTATGAATTTAAATATGAAATATTATATATGAATGATATTATGTAGGAAAACTTTGGCAGAAAGCGGAGCAGTTGGCAACTCTGCTTACTCGCTTCAAACATTCAACCAGGGTTGAAAGGTAACCAGACTTGTTAATAGCATGTCAGCGTAATAAGCGCCATTTTTAAGGGTCCAATCAAATCCAATGCTCCTGCAACGTCATATACTAGTTGATTCTTTTTTTAAGAACGAACGTTATATTTGTTTATCGATATATTTCTCCAAATGCCAACCGGACTGTGTAGGGGTTAGGGAACTGTCCTTGCATCGGAAAGATTCTGGGTTCGAATCCCGGGAAAGGCATGGATGTACTTTCATTCTCTCTACTATCTGTTCTTACTGTGAGAGAAACATTGGCCCACTTAATATGGTGCCCTGAAAGAGTGGCCTACGAATCTGCCTCGTAAATTCCTGAATTGACGAAATGTTAACACATGTGGGCAATAGAAATTAAAAAAAAAAAAAAAAAAACATATCGACAAGTCTAGGATTACAGTAAGACTATGAAATTAAATCTTCTTTTAAAAATTCTGTGATGGATATCTTATTAGATCTATCAGGGAGCTCTACCGGAGAAAGTACGTATTTTCATTTGAATAAACGTAAAAGATTTTTTAATTACTTATTTTTTTGTAAGTGAAAATGGTAAGGTGTTTACACTTTATTTACACTCAAAGGGAATCTCACGCTAATTTTACATGGTTCTCCCGTCCGGCCAAACGGTAAATAACTACAAACTAAATTTGAAAATATTAGACAAATTTTGCTAGTTTTTAAAAGGTTTTACTTACATATGTGAAAAAAATGGTGAATTATATAAGCTTTACGAAATGTTTAGAAATAGTGGTGGATGAAAATCTACTAAATTGAATTTATCACAATTAATAAACTACCACTTGAAAATGTTTATCCGCTGCCCGGAGCAAGTTGACATATCTTTATATATATATTTCGTCTGTTCGTGTGTATGTCACTGAACTCCTCCTAAACGGCTGGACTGATTTAAATGAAATTTTCTGTGTACCTNCAAAGACTTTTTGAATGCCCTAACAGTAGAAAAAACAATTAATTTCGAAAATATATTATACCACTTTTTCAATAAAACCACTTTTTGTATCATTTCAATATATAAATTCGGGACAAAACGGGTTAACTTTTTCAAACCATTTTAGTAACGATAATAATATTTAAAAAAATTAAAAATTTACTCGAATTATGTGTTTCTAATAATCTTGGCTTCGCCGGTGACCCCCGTGGAGCTACGAACAAACTCAGTGCCGGGTCACCGGTGACCCCGATGGCATTCAACGTGTTAAAGAGACACAGCGTATGTGACACAAAAGGGCACGGGCATACATATTCAAACTTGTAAAGAAAGTGTCTGACAAAACTAAGCGGCACATCTGTTTTTTTTTTTTTTTAAATATAAAGACAGCTTTTGCACTAATCTAATTTCGTATAATATTTCGTGTGCGTATACTGGACGATTTGTCTACTCTCGTCATTATCTTATCTGCTTGCTTCATATCGGATCCAATGAACCAATGAGAGCTTACAGAGGCTGAGTAAACAGAATAATTCTAAATCAAAATCTTATAGGGCTTGTTCTTCCGCGGACAGAATTTTCTGGTAGACCTAATATTTATTTCATATAATACTGATAATCGAAGTTGGAAAGACAATTTTGGGACCATATTTACCCAGAAACGATTGTAAACAAGATGTAGTCATTCGTAGTTGGTGTTCGTTCTTTAAACTTGAGGCACGTTTTGGATTCATACTCATCAAAGGCTTCTTGAAGAATATCCTTCACGTTTCCTTGAAATAGAGAAAATTCGAGTAAAAATTCAACTTTCTATTCAATAAAATATCAAAAAAGTAATTTCTATATTTATAGAAAAATTTTGCTTTTTTGTACAAATGAATTTATAATTTTTTAAAATAAAGATAATGTCGATAAATTAAAAACAATTCATAATCACGCAAAGAAGAAATTTCATTAAAATTATTTACAGCAGGGATTAATAGCCGTGTTCGTTCGTTGTTTTAAAACTGGACATCTGAGGCCTAAATGGCCCTTATCCCATTCATCATGAAATATCCCAAAGGGACATACATAGGAAAGTTGTATTGGTGGTTTGGAAAAGAACCTGAAATGCGACAAAATAATGAAAGGCATCATGAAATTAATAGCCGTGGAGCCTGCAAGCTTATATTATATATGTTTAAATTATTAAAATTTAATGGTAGTTAAAATAATTTTAAATCGTATTTATTTAATGAAGAATAAAATGTTATACCATGAATTTTTCCACAGCTTTAAATCTAAAAATAAAATCCTCCGGGAAAACTAGAAGAGTTGGCAAGTAAGAAATTAGAAAAAATTAACGAATCTGTGGTTATTATTTGTACCACGCATAATTTCTAGGGCGGCAAACAAAGATGTTCACGCGGTTAAAGCGTGGAAAAATTATAAAAAGTATATATATATATACACTTTTCTTTATTTTAAACTTTACTCATAATAAAAAAAAGCATTATAATTTTTATTGTATCATTTCTAATATTTGGCGGCACATTTTAAGAATTTGGCGGCACACAAAAGTGCCGCGGCACAGTGGTTGAGAATCACTGCTCTAAATGACATTTTTAAAAATGCATGCATTAGCCAAAGATTTGAAGGTAAATAGGCAGCTCTACCGTTAATCTACTCAGGACATAAAGTGTATAGAAAATTAGGAGGCATCATATTACGTCTAGCTTATACTGGTATATAAATTCGATGTTTTTTTCTACTGAACCTAGGAAGAGAAACACTGATGTTTGATAGTTCTAATTT